TGTATATGTATGTATATGTATGTATATGTATATGTATGTATATGTATGTATATGTATATGTATGTATATGTATATGTATGTATATGTATATGTATGTATATGTATATGTATGTATATATATGTACATAGGGCCTTTCTGTTCAGTGCCCTGAGATGACTTCTGTTTTGAGTTGGACGCCCAGGTGTGACGAGGCTAAATGTTTTGTTGGCATAAAGCTCGTTAGACCGTCAAAATAAAAAATCAATAAATTAGCCACAGCATTGTACAAGCTGCGGCATTCAAACCGTGTGAAAAAGTAGAGGCTTATAGTCCGTAAAGTACAGTTAACAGAATCAGAGTAAGCTATAAGTTATCAATCGAAAATGGCATATTATGAAATATGTCAAATTAGAGTAATTATTACTTCTTATCTTTTGTTTTTTTCATAGAACAAAGCCACAGACCACATTACATGATACATTTAGGTTTTCTTTGAATTTTCACCCAGTTGTGTATTCAACTTTTACAGGCAATGTGTTTATTTCACATTTTAATTTTTTGACCTATCAACACTATTCTGGATATTTTCAAAAACTTATTTTCTGTAGTGTTTTTAATTCACTTCAATTCAATTCACTTTATTTCTGTAGCTCCAAGTACCAACAGAAGTCGTCTCAGGGCATTGTACACAAACATTCACATACATTCTAAAAGAAAATTAGTAAAGTTCTCTATCTAAGGAAGCAGCAGATTGTGTTTAATCTTCACTTCATCATAGTCTCCCATCCTGAGCAAGCACAAGCAGCCATTTGCTTTGACCTGCTGGGGCTTAAGAGGACAGGAAGTAGCAAAAGACAAACTCAGGAGTACTTGCTATAGGAGGAAAGACAAAAATCACATCTCCAGATAGAAATAATTACAAATACAAACAGGTAGAGTAGAGCAAGTTACAACAGCAGCAGAGTGAAACAATGTGGTCAGTTTGTCCTCCAGCAGTCTAAGCCTAAACATAACTAAGGGATAGCTCCATAAACCCAAGCCAACACTAACTATAGGATTTATCATAAAGGAAAGTCTTAAGCCCAGTCTTAAAATTGGACAATGTGTCAACCTCATGGACAAAAATTGGAAGTTGGTTCCACAAGAGAGGAGCCTGATAATGGGGCGGCTGTGGCTGAGTGGTTAGAGCAGTCGTCCTCCAATGCAAGAGTTGGGGGTTTGAATCCACCAGTAGTCACATGCCGAAGTGTCCATGGGCAAGACACTGAACCCCTCATTACATCTGATGTGTGTCCCATTAGTATCCTATCAGTGTATGGATGTGATCTAAATCTAAAAAAGTTCAATCTGGTCCTCTGGACATTCAAAAAACAAACAAAGCAAAACAACAACAACAAAAAAGGTAGAAACGTTTCGTCTTTCATCCGAAAGACTTCCTCAGTCTGAGGTGCTGTATCAGCTCAGTCTTATAAATAGCACCTTCTCAGAGTGGATCAACCAGTTTGCTGCTGACAACCAAAACCAACTGCTCACATGATCAAGAAGGACCATCAGCCTAACTATGGATCATTAGCACCTGATGGCTGTTTACTATTCACAGGAGGCTGAATGATACTAGCAATCACAGCATTGTAAGAGGGGGACAGTTGAACACGTAGGCCTCCACCCCTGTTTAATGATGGACGATTTCTTTTCACAAAGATGGCCTCCTTTACTCCTCTCTCAAACCATCGTTCCTCTCTATCCTGGATGTGAACATCTTCATCCCTGAACGAGTGACCGTTGGCCTGGAGATGAGTGTAGACCACAGAGTCCTGGCCTGATGGTGTTGCGCTTCTGTGCTGGGCCATCCTTTTGGCCAGTGGCTGTTTAGTAAAGCTCTGATTAAAGATTAAAGCATTAAAGCTCTGATTAGTCTCTTTAGAATGATTTGTTCAATTAGCTTTGTAGAGATCTAGCAGAGTGCTGTATGAATGGGTAAATGAGGACACAGATTATGTTAAAATAGTTTTTAGTGTCTTCTTGTTAACTGAAGATGAGGAACTTATCAGCTTTAGAAATCAAAATAAATATGGAGTTGTTTTCCTCATTTTTTTTTTTTTTTTGCATTGCGCTCTTTATCCTGATCTTGTCACCATTAAACTAAATGAATGCTGAAACGGTTAATAACTTGGAGGAAACTGTAAACGGTATCAAAGAAAACAAGAGCTGCATTTGTTGAGGGGGCATTCTTATCAAGCTGTAAATGTTCTTTGTGTAAATTAATATGTCTAAAATGTGGATGTCGTCAAGCGTTTTTGTTTGAATGTGTGGACAATGAAAAGTGATAAACAATGCAAAAAGTATTTGTCGTAGTGTAATTGGGGCTTTAAACATGAGAAGACAATGCCATTTTAATTTGGACCTCTCCAGTCTAACAGCAGCCTTGTATTCCTTTCTCTGTGTCTGTGATGCTGATGGACGTCTCATCTAGGCCATGCTAGATGCAGCCAGAGTGGTCAGACCCAATCTGTATGTCATAGCAGAGCTCTTTACAGGCAATGAGCTCATTGACAATGTGTTTGTTAACCAGCTGGGAATTACCAGCCTTATACGAGGTATGCACATGTGAACTAATGGTTTTTGTTTTTTCTGTTTTGTTTTTTCACTCTGCATCTTACTGCATTTTACCTTCCCATGCCCAAAATCCCCAAACATCTTGTTTGTTTTTTCTTTTTAAACTATTTCACTGCATGCTGTGCTTTTTTTTTTCTTTGAGGTTTGTTATCACTAACTGGCGTCATCTCCTTTACATCACTCTTTGTGTTTGTGTGTGTGTGTGTGTTTGTGCTTTGTACTCTTCCCTGCATTTCTTCTGGCACTTTGCTTTGACCAGTTCATGCTGGATGTGGCCAGAAGAGAGTGTCCTAACCTATACGTGGTTGCTGAACTGTTTACCGGCAGCGAGGAGCTGGATAATGTCTTTGTTACCAGGCTAGGGATTACATCACTCATACGAGGTACAGTGCTGAGTGTTCACTTCACATGCTTCTATATAAACTGTATTCAGTAACATGTCTGCAGGCACTGATAAAACTGTCCATATGGTTCACTGGTCCTGTAAATGAATTAGTAGTCAGTTAGGGTGCATTCAGGCTAGCCCTGTTCAGTCCGCTTTAATCGAACTCTAGCTCGTTTTCCTAGAAAGTTTGGTTCGTTTGGGGAGGTATGAACGCGCCATCGAACTCTGTCATGGAACAAAAAGGCCAACTCTGGCCCGGTCTAAAACCTAGGTCTCGGTCCGGTAGAAGAGAACTCCAGCGCGGTTCGAGTACAGTGTGAATGTAAACAGACCGGGCCCCGATCCACAAGCAAGAAGTGGAGTACAACGCAGGGCAAACAAACACGCATTTCTCTGACCTTATATGGAGCCGTCAGCTGCCTTGTGTGAAAAACAATATTCTCCATGGTCTTCTGCCTCATCTTCTGGTCATGCTGAGTCCATTTTTGAAAAATGACAAAATAGAACTCCTAAAACTGCTAAAACTTGATGCCATTCCATTTTTGTTTTTATTTCCAGAAGAAGAAGAAGTGTCTTCAGAGGCTTTTGTGTTGTTTCTTTCAGTAGTTTTGTTGCAGCACCCCCACAGGCTTGCTGGGTAATATGTTGGTTCAACAGGTTGGCTCGACTGCACAGTGCAGTGTGAATGCAAACGCACCAGATAAAATGCAAACAAAATGTCATGAATATTGGTCCCCAACCGAACTGAGTCTACCGGACTATCAGGTGTGAAAACAACCTTGAAAGTGCTCCTTGAGAGAAAACAACCAGCAGATTTTAGATTGAAAGCAGCATCCCAAAGACAAGTCTGCAACTTGGCTATGTCTCAACGATGAAAACACAACTAATGTTCACATGGAAGGGTATGAATTATATCATGTGAACAGAAGCAACAAAAGAGGTGGTGGAGTGGCTCTATTTGTTAAAAATGAAATAAAATGTAAATTAATTAATGAAATTTCAATAATTGTTGATAATATTATGGAAATAATAGCAATAGAAATAATAAACAAGAATGATAAAAACATAATAAGTTGTGTATATCGCTCACCAGGATCAAATATAGAAATATTCACCGATAAAATCGTACAACTATTGGACAAGAGATTTAATAAAAGCGTTTTTTTGTGTGGAGACTTTGGTATTGACCTGGGAAATAAAACAGATTCAAATAACATAAATACATTTACAAATTCATTGTATAGTTTAAATCTTTATCCGTTAATATCAAAACCAACAAGAATTACAACTCATAGTGCTACAATAATTGATAATATTTTCACAAAGATAACAAATGGGGATGTGATGGGAGGTATTTTAACGAGTGATTTGAGTGATCATTTACCAGTTTTCATGATTTATAAAAATGATCAAAGCATTACAAAATAAATTACAATTAAGAAACAAACAATAAACACATCAACAAAAGCAATGGACAAATTAAAAGATGATTTACATAAACAAAGCTGGAAAGACGTGTATGTTGATGATGTGAACAGATCATATGATGAGTTTATGAATATTTTAGGAGCTCTGTATGAAAAGAATTGTGTGCAAAATAATTATACAAAGAGAAATGTTGTTGATCAACCATGGATGACGAAAGGGTTGAGAAATGTTTGTAAAAAAAAAAAAAGACTTACTTGTATACATGTTTCTTGAAATTGAGAACACAAGAGGCCAAAGAGAAATATAAGAAGTATAAAAATAAATTAGTAGGGATTATAAGGAAACACAAGAAGGAATATTATAGTGATTTATTAAATAAAAGTAATGGTGATATGAAAGCTACATGGCAAGTAATAAATAGTGTTCTGAAAAGTCATAAAGCAAAAACAGGTATTTCACAATATTTTTTGAAGGATGACGATGAAATCCATGATGAAAATGAAATTGTAAATGGATTTAATCATTATTTTGTGAACGTTGGATCAAGCCTTGCAGCTAAAATACCAAAAGTAGACAATAATGTGAACCATTCAGTTATAGGTTGTGACAACAGTATTTTTCTTAATGGAACTGACAAAGAAGAAATAATGAATGTTGTAAAAAATCTTACAGACAAGAGATCAAAAGACTGGGTGGACATGGATATGATGTTTGTAAAGGACATAATGAGTTATGTTATCGAGCCGTTTACATATATTTGTAATTTATCATTTTCAAAAGGAATATTTCCAGACAATATGAAAGTAGCTAAGGTAGTTCCTCTCTTTAAAAATGGTGATAAATGTGTGTTCAATAATTATAGACCAATATCCTTATTACCACAGTTCTCAAAAATTCTAGAAAAATTATTTGTGATCAGATTAGATAAATTTATTACTAAACAAAACATTCTAAGTAGTAGTCAGTATGGGTTTAGAGCAAAAAACTCTACATCAATGGCTCTCATGGAAATAATAGAACAAATAACTACTGCTGTCGATCAAAGACAGTATTGTGTTAGTATTTTTGTTGATTTAAAAAAAGCATTCGATACTATTGACCACACTATTCTCCTTGAAAAATTAAATAAATATGATATAAGAGGACCAGCATTACACTGGGTATCTAGCTATTTGAAAGATAGGAAACAAGTTTGTACAAATAAATGGTGTAAGATCTGACCTCTGCAATATCACTTGTGGAGTTCCTCAAGGCTCTGTACTTGGACCAAAGTTATTTATTTTATATGTGAATGACTGAGTGAATTTTTCAGGACTCCTCAAATGTGTCCTTTTTGCAGATGACACCACATTTTTTTATTTGGGTAAAGATGTAAAACGGATGTTGGAATTGATGAAGACAGAATTTGATAAAATACAAACTTGGTTTAAACCTAATAAATTATCATTAAATTTAGATAAAACTAAATACATGATATTTAGTAACAAAAAGAGAACTGTTGATGATCCATTTAACATTGAGGGTGTTGAGATTTATAGAGTTAATGAGATTAAATTTTTGGGTGTAATCATTGATGAACAGCTAACATGGAAAAACCACATGAATTCTGTAAGAACAAAAATATCTAAATCTATTGCAGTACTATACAAAGTCAGGGAATTTTTAAATGATAAAGCTCTGTACATGTTGTATAACACAATCATTGTTCCACATTTAATCTATTGCATTGATGTTTGGGGGAAAGCATGTAAAACATTTACAAAACCTATTTTTATTTTACAGAAAAGAGCTGTAAGAATTATCACCAGAAAGCATTACAGTCACCCATCAAGCACATTATTTTATCAACTGAAGTTATTGAAGTTCCATGATTTGGTAGATTATAGTATTTTATCAGTTATGTATAGGGCTCAAAATAACACATTACCATTAAATATCCAAAGAAATTTTGTTAAAAGACAAAGTTGTTATAATCTTAAGGGGATAGAGATATTTGTCAAACCAAAATTCAGAACTAGTCTGAAGGGAAGGTCTACCTCAATCCAAGGAGTTGGATTGTGGAATGGTCTAGAGAGTGATGTTAAAAATGCCAAGTCAATGTGTACATTTAAGAAAAAGATCAAAGCTGAATTGTTAAATAAAAAAAATGAAGTAGCTTCGTGTGTATTGCATTAGAGTTATAAAAATTAGAAAGAGTTATTTGTTTTGTTATGTTACTTGAAAATTATTGCGATTGAACTAATTGTTTGAAAAAAAGGGGCAGATATAAGATTTTTTCTTCTTTCTGCTGCCTTTCATTTTAAATTTCTTGTATTTTTTATAGTTTATGGGATTGTTTTTTGTTTTTTAAAATGAATAAAATACTACTACTCCTTAAAGCAGTAAAAATAATACCAATATTCAAATCGATCCTCCCTCCACTAAATGCAAGTACACATTGATGCTTGAAACTTTGTGAACTCTTTATAATTTTCTATACTTCTGCATAAATATGATGTAAAACATCATCTGATTTTCACACAAGTCCTAAAAGTAGATAAAGAGGACCCAGTTAAACAAACAAGACTAAAATATTATACAGGTCCTTCTCAAAAAATTAGCATATTGTGATAAAGGTCATTATTTTCCATAATGTAATGATAAAAATGAAACTTTTATATATTTCAGATTCATTGCACGCTAACTGAAATATTTCAGGTCTTTAATTGTTTTAATACTGATGATTGTGGCATACAGCTCATGAAAACCCAAAATGCCTGTCCCAAAAAATTAGCATATCATGAAAAGGTTCTCTAAACAAGCTATTAACCTAACCATCTGAAGCAACGACGTAACTCTAAACACCTGCAAAAGATTCCTGAGGCTTTTAAAAACTCCCAGCCTTGTTCAATACTCAAAACCACAATCATGGGTAAGACTGCCGACCTGACTGCTGTCCAGAAGACCATCATTGACACCCTCAAGCAAGAGGGTAAGACAGAAATAAATTGCTGAACGAATAGGCTGTTCCCAGAGTGCTGTATCAAGGCACCTCAGTGGGAAGTCTGTGGGAAGGGAAAAGTGTGGCAGAAAACGCTGCACAACAAGAAGAGGTGACCGGACCCTGAGGAGGATTGTGGAGAAGGGCCGATTCCAGACCTTGGGGGACCTGCGGAAGCAGTGGACTGAGTCAGGAGGAGAAACATCCAGAGCCACCGTGCACAGGCGTGTGCAGGAAATGGGCTACATGTGCCGCATTCCCCAGGTCAAGCCACTTTTGAACAAGAGACTGCGTCAGAAGCATCTCGCCTGGGACTGCTGCTGAGTGGTCCAAAGTTATGTTCTATGATTACAGTAAATTTTGCATTTGCTTTGGAAATCAAGGTCCCAGAGTCTGGAGGAAGAGAGGAGACACAGAATTCACATTGCTTGAGGTCCAGTGTCAAGTTTCCACAGTCACTGGGGTGTCATGTCATCTGCTGGTGTTGGTCCACTGTGTTTTATCAAGGGCAGGGTCAATGCATCTAGCTATCAGGAGATTTTGGAGCACTTCATGCTTCCATCTGCTGAAAAGCTTTATGGAGATGAAGA